GAGAAAAGTCCATGGACTGAGCCCTGGGTCACTCCACTATATTGAGAAGTTGAAGAGATAAATTGAGTAGAAGAGGTTGGGCATAAGTTTTTTGCACAAACTTCAGTTTCAGGGAAGTTATCATTCATTAAATGGTGGAGAATCACATATTTACCAGTGTATCAAGAGTCCAACTCCTTCCAGGCTGTCTTTGGAAAGATTCTAGCCTTATTTTTTTTCTGAATGTTTCAAAACATTTAAATAGAACAGTACTTTTTTTTCTTTCCTGTTACATAGTGGTTTCCTCACATGGTATAATTCTCCTAGTATAAAACTTGTCAAGTACCACACAAGCAGTAATCAGCAATGGCTTTTTCATAAAGTTAATAATCCACTAAACACATCATGCCTAAAAGGCTAAGAGTGACTTGAGGCCAGAAGCTTAATTTGTCAGGCATCTTTTATTCTTTTGAGCTGTTCACTTCCCTATCACACAGCAACTTTCTCCAGCTTCTTACTGAGCTCACTGGATAAATGCCTTAAGACATCTGACAAGTCACACCCCTCTTCCTAGTGCGAACCACAAGAAGCATAGCATCTTTACATTTCCACTTTAAATTTTAGAAGTTTCCATCCAGAGACTCATGCCTTAAAAAAAGAGAGAGGAAGTACTTCCAAGCAGGTCAAAGTTGTTATCAGGCATGCAATCTCAAAGCAGAATTGTGTGAGAACTGGGCCTGGGACAGACTAGAGACACTTAAGTTTCTGGTCCAGGAGAACATAAAAGAGTGCCAATTCCTACAATGGTGATGTCATTCATTAATTCATTTGACAAATATTAGCAAGCACCTACAATGTGTCAGGCTCTGTTATGGATGCTGGGGTCCACTGGTGAATGAAACAGACAGCAATCTCTGCCCACATAGAACATACACTATGGAAGGAGAAGAAAAGAAAAATGAATAAGAATGAAAACAAGAAAAGAAAAAGAAAAACAAGAAAGAAAAATGAATAAAATACACAAAATATTACATTAGAGTAATAAGGTAGTGGAAGGGCATATATCAACAAAATGTTCAAAAAAGGACTTAAACCTTTAAAATTTATTTAAATAAGTTTAATTAGGGTGGTTAGGGATGACCTCACTAAGGTGACATTTAAGTGCAAAGTCCTAGCTGTAGATTTAAGTGCCTCAAAAAGGTGTCTTCACAACCTCTTTAACAAGTGGTGCTGGGAAAACTGGTCAACCACTTGTAAAAGAATGAAACTAGAACACTTTCTAACAGCATACACAAAAATAAACTCAAAATGGATTAAAGATCTAAATGTAAGACCAGAAACTATAAAACTCCTAGAGGAGAACATAGGCAAAACACTCTCCGACATAAATCACAGCAGGAT